GAGTGTAATACTTCCATGTTATGTCAGGGTTTGTGTTTCTCCACGAGTGTATTGATATGCAGATAGTAAGCAGGACAAAATTTTAGTAGTTGCGTGCAAATTTTGTTTGAGTGGTAGTTGAGATAAATTGTACGAGGAAGTGTTTTTGCAAACTGGGAAAATATTTTGGGTGTCACTGCTCACAGATGGCAGCACTTTACCAGCCATTACTTTCAGAAAACAACTTGTGGAATTACTTTGCGTGGATGTTATTGTAACTGATCACACGCCTGAAGCAATCTGCCAGAAACTATTAGTGTACATGGCTATGTGTCTAACTTGGATGCTTACGTATATGAGAATGTGTATTTGTGATCGTATGTTTTCTAGATGTGGCACATATTTATGAAACTTTACAAAACTCATTCATGTGTGTTGTCCAACATCAAAACATGGAGAACATGACTAGAGAGCAATCTATATTGAACAGTACAAGAGTTTGATGAGGGTGTTGAGATGATGTATAAAGCTAACTGTGAATACTGGCCTGACAGACATTAATTGAAGAAGTATCAGACTGTTGGATTCATTAGCATGATTAGGGTATAATTCAGGTTTAACAGTGAAATGTTCCGTGAGTGTTGAGTTTTGAAAGTAATGTAGTCTCCTAATACACGTGTATGTGAACATAGTTTGAACTGTGTTTCACAAGTGTTAACAAGTTGTGTTTTAATTTTGAGGTGCTGAAACACAAATGACAATGTCAAATTGTCTCTAAATATATATCTGGGTATGATTAATTTTAATTTGGAATGATCTGTTATATTATGTCTTATGTGGTAATATTTTGGTGTGTAAGAACTCAGTTTTCTGGATATATTCTTAACACAAATCAATACAAGCTCAGTCCTACATGAAAATGTGGGCTGTGATGCCAGGGGTGAGATGACACCTCCATGATAGTGCCTATTCTTGACTTAGGCAAAATTTGTTTATGATCAAAGTCAGTAGGGAGACGATGCATAAGTGATAATGAATTATCATAGACAAAAAAAAGCAGGTTGACATCCAAGCAGTTTTCAATCTATTACAGTTACAACTGTGGGTATTCTCACTCCCCATTTCTTTCCTATAGGCCCCAGGCTCTGTTAGTTGACAAAAAAAATGGTAGTGGAAGGAATTTAGTGGAGGCCAAGATAGCTGCAGATCATCAATGTAACTACATTGACCTCAGAGGCAGCTGGTGTAATAATCGAGTTCATAACCAGAAGATGCCTGAGTCTACAGGTAGTTGGGATTATGTTATGGGCTGGATATGTGAGACATGGAGTTTGACCTTACATTTTATTTTTTCTTCTGCTTTGTCTTGATGAGTAATCAAAGAGAAAATGCATATTTGTAATGAGAGCATTACAGCCTTAACCCACACACTTGACCGAGTTTCTCTGGCCACTCAACTTTGTTTGACTCTGCATTTTCAATCCTCACTTTGCCAATTTAAAATCTTACTGGCTGTCTTCACTTTTTTGAACTTGTCAGTGTTGCTTTTTAGTATTCTCTGTTGTAAATACCTCTCAACTTGCTGAGATGGAAAGAGCTAGAAATGTGTTTTTCTCTTTGATTTTAGTGATACTAAGAAGCTTCTGGTGCTGCTTTCTGCGCCTGGACTGTAACCATGTTAATAAGGATGAACCAAGATGTGGTAGCAGTGTCTACCAAGATGAGCACTGGAGATCCACTTCCATTCCTCCGCCAGCCCTAGCTGTTGAGGAGACATTTGAGAAGGTAGCATTTCCCATACAGCCCCCAAATGAGGTAAGACAGCAACTTATGTTGCAACAAATAAGTTTTAAAGTGCCACTGCCAGGATCAGATGATCAGGTGGATGGACGTCTGGGTCTTTTATAATTGTTAGGAAGACCATTTACTAAAGCAACGAGAGACATCAACACAGTTTGAAGAAAAGATGCATCATCTCCAATAGGAGCTGGATTGAACACGGAATGCACTTGAGAGCCAAAAAGATTATCCACCATGCCACATCAAAGGTCGATGGCTACATTGGGGGACTTGCTGTCGGGATTATTTTTTTAAATGAGTTGACCTTTCTTCGTCCAGCTAAATTGTACATATTTGTTAAATTGTTGTGTTTATATATGCTTTTGTAAGGTTGTTGTTTGTTTTATAGTTTATTTGATGTAGTGTAATAAGTTTTCCGTATTATAAAGTCAGATTTCAAGTTGCTACTTTTATTAAAGGGTTTTATATATTGTATAGTGTATAATTAATTTTCAATACTTAATTTATTAATACACAGTGTATATATGCTTAGGATTTAGGTTTTGCATACAGTGTATATGTATGCTAAGTATAATTTCAAGTCTGAGTTTCTACGTAAAATGGGCATTGATATATATATGCATTTGTGAATTTCATTTTCCACAAATAGTTTCACCTCACTCACTCACATTTCAACTCAATTTAATTGAAATGTTGACGACCAGCACTCGCAAATCACAGGCGCAATTGTGTTTTCCTGTAGTTGTGGCATCAACCCTCTGTCATTCGTAGCAATTTCCATTAAATTCAAGAGTTCTAAACTAAAGCATTTCGTTATGTAACTCTGTACTAGTCGTGTGTTATGTATGCAGGTTAATTGTTGTATTAAGCTTTTGTAATATTACTGACGTCATCTTACTCAAAATTTATAAGTTTTTCTCATTATGTTTAATATTGTTGTTATAGAGATTAAATATTTCTTGATTTTTCTGTTGCGTGTTATAAATACGTGTAGATAGAGAGTGCAAGTAAGAAGTAAATTTGTGACAGTTAAAATGAAAAAAGGGAAGTTTAACTGCCTGGCTGTCAGTTTAGCCGTCAAAGGCGATTTCTAAAGTGAAAATATTACAGTTTGAATTGTAACCAGAGATACATGAGAATAATTTGTCTTGTCAAAAGGTGTTCTAAAGTAACTGAGCCTGTCTGTGTGGACATTGACGAAATAAAGACAATTATTTAAAGCTCTAGATACAACTATGGTAGCCAACAATTATAGTGGTGGTTTTGAAGTGAGTTTCACAGCTTTTATTGTAACAACAGAGGTTGAGAAGAATAATTTGTCAATTTGGTTTTAAAGTAACTAAACCAATCTGTGTGGATTTTTGACGAAAAAGAGAATTATTTATTAAAGCTTTAGATTCAACTGTGGTAAATTGTTTGACTTGTTTTCAATATATTATTTTAAAACAAGTGGATTGTGTACTGTCCATTTATTGTTCACATTTATCGCCAACAAGTCACAGACACCTACTGTAAAGAAACCGGCCACTGTACAAATCCTGACATTTCGCGAGCCAGCCAGGATTGTAGAGTGGTAAACGACAGTAAAAGAAGACGTGAACGACAGCAGAAGTAGGACTATATAATCACAATTGTTGTGATAGCGAAAATAGTGTAGAGATTACAACCACGCTATTTAACCATATCAATAGATGTTGATACATAGATAGAAAGAGGTGAGCGATTTGGGCTCAAAGATGGCAATCTGCGAGAGCTTGTTAAGCAATAAGAACTAGAGAGAGAAGAGCGGCAACAGAAGAGAGAGACAGAGAAGAGAGGAAGGAAAAGAAATGCATAAAGAAGAAAAGGAGAGGCTGAAAATAGAGAGAGAGAGAGAGAGAATAAGAGCACAAATTTAGATCGCTAAGCTCACCCAACAAAAAGATGAAGAACCTAGGAATTACAATGGAGTCAAGGTCAGCCGATTCAAGCTGCCCAAATTTGATGAACAGAAAGACGACATGGATGCTTTCCTGGAGACACATGAAATATTCGCCCAAAGTCAGAACTGGTACAAAGGTGATTGGGCAGTATCTCTCAACCCACTTTTCACCGGAAAAGACCTATACATGTATGCAAACATAACATCACAGTTTCATTTCAAAGCAATAGGGTAGTTGGCTACATCATTATAAACATACTGAAATATGATATGTAATTTGAAAAGAATAAATACATTTTGTAAGCTGTCGTGCTTTAAACTGTGTGATTCCCTTTGTTGCTTCATCACTGCAGCTTCCATTTTGTTTAATCATGAAGCGATCGCAATAACCATATACCATAATTCTGGTCCTTATCTGGCTGGTTAATATATTACAAGGTCGGATAAATGTAGTACCATGTATGGCTGCTTACTTTTACATTATTTGGGAGGAAGGAGGAAATTGAAAGGGAGGGCATACCAATCATTCCCCGAAACCCATGAAACCTTTCAGTGGCCCTGCTCACCAATGTAGTGTGTTTTTATTATATTTATATAATGCAAAGTGTAAATCTGAAACAATACCAAAAATTGCATTAAAATCCTTTTATGCGTAGCAGAGAGCAGTTTAATCTTGTCGCGTGATGTAAAAGTCGTCTGTTTTAAAATGTTGATGCTTCGCAAAACATCCCAATGTGTATTGCAAAATATTAAGATTACAATTTACATCACGACTAATATTTGAATGAGTTTTTTTGGGGGGGGATTATTTAAGTTAAATTTGACTTTTTTGTAAATATTTTTGAAAATAAGATGCACATATTACATAAAACTACGTGCGAGCAACATTTTGAACAAACCATTTAAATAATTTACTATATAATTAATTTTTCTTTGAAGTAATAATAATTCAATAACTCTAAAACTGTTATTAGTAACAGTTTCAATGTATATCTATATATATAATACAAATTATAAGAGAATGCTGGATTCTAAATTTTTTTTTTTTTTTTAGAATTTTAGATCTTTTTCTAACCATGTAAAATTTAAAATACCAACAGAGGACGCTCTGCATTCCTGGAATACGGCTTTGCTTGAATCTAAAACTAAATAAATAATATTTTAACTCTTATAACTTAATATGTATGAAAAAGAAATGTTATCTAATTATATAAAGTTAAGAATAACCAGTTTCATAATTATTTAAGCTTTACTTTTCAATAAGGAGTGATAACAAGCTGTCCTACAATTTATGACGTCAGCGTCTTTATAGAGTCTACGTGTTAACGGAGGTACATGTATATTTGAGACAGCTGTTGGAGGTGGTTACGTATATACCAAGTAAACTAGGGTGTTCGGTTTGAAAATATAATATATTTAAATAACGAAAATGTCCGAAGAACATTTTGACGAATACGAACATTACAATTTTGACCAAGATAAGCATATGTTCTCGGGACACAGCGGAAAGCAAAGAACCAAGAAAGAAGCTAGTGAACATACTAATTTCTCTGATCCTGGTGGTCATTCTCGCAAACTAGTTACAAAAATGCAGAACACTGAGCAAAATAGAAAGGACACTGAAAAGGTACCAAAAGAAAAGAAGCAGAATTCTTAGTCGTGAAAACTTTTGGTAAACGGCATTAACTATATATACAGGTAAATTGATTTAGTTTATAAATTACTTAACCCCATTTATATTTTGAACTTTGAAGTATAAATAATGTTATTAATAAAACTAGATTTCCGAATCGATTGAGAGTGTTTGTGCCTATTTGGCAGTAGGCCTACTATTGTTTTATGAATTTAAATATAATAAATACTATACATTCAGGAGGTTCGAAAGATAAGCTTTGTTCTGCACGATGTTGGAATCTGTATGACCATAATAGGAACCTGTCTGTCATAACTAGTGTTATACTAGTTATAGTGTTTATACTCGTAGTTATACGAATGTCGAATGAAGATTGGTCTAAGAACAAAAACAACTGACAACCAGCATTTAAGAAACAGTTTACAAATTACATTAAAAATGTTTACGTTAAGTTACAACAGTACTATACACTATCTACAGATATATAATAATGGCCAAGATAATTGCGATTCCAATATGGTCGCGTGCTTGTTTGTTTGTTTGAATTTATGCACAAAGCTACACAATTGGCTATCTGTGCTCTGCCCACCACGGGTATCGAAACCTGGTTTCTAGCGTGTAAGTCCGCAGACATACCGCTGTGCCACTGGGGGGCTTGGTCGCGTGCATTGATGTACAAAATCTAGACGACCAACACAGCTCGTGAAACCAGGATGTGACATCATTGTGTTTCGTTTCAAGTGAAAACTGTTCAGTTGTACCTGACTGTAATTTAGGGACTTAGTAGCAACCCAAAGAAAAACCTCATGAACTGTTTATTTTTAAATTAATAACATTTATGGATATGTGACCATTCTAGTTTTAGGCCAGTGTTCGGACTTGTAAACTACATGTGTTGAAGTCAGTCTGCGATAACATGTTCATTACACGCACAACATTGAGCTATACACATAGCCATAGGCATAGCTAGATACACGGAGCCCGTGCCCCGAATTTCCAGATGGTGTCTTGAAAAATCAGAATACAAAGCCATGATCGATGTCATACTGAAACATCGAAAATTCCCGCGCTTATGGGACATGAATCTTTAAAACATCTAGCGACACCTCTGCATATAGCTTGCTTGTATAAATGTTTTAGACCAATTAAAACGGTAAAAACCCTATAACTGGAGCGCTTTCGAAAGGTGTTTTACATTAAGACTTCTTGAACCTACGTGTTTTTTAGACTAATTCAAATAGAGCTGAAGACAGATTTGCATGTCCATCACGTAGTAGCATGTAGAACAACAGTAGTGTAAATTATAATATGGTATAAAATATACCGAAAAATGTTCCGACCTACCCACGTTTTTATCTTTATTTTTAAGCCAAACATCCACAAATGCAGTGTATGTTTCATTCAGACCATCATTTTGTTGCGGCTCACATATATACGGATAACGGTATTGCGATATTTAATTCATTATTGTTTTATAGTGCTGATTTAATCGCTTATAAGCAATTAATATAATTAATAGTTTGTAAGCTATATATATATATACGTGTGTGTGTGTTATATGTATAACATTCTGAGTTGAGAAAAACACTAGGTATTGTATGAAACACTTTTTATATATGTTAAAACTTATTTGGGCCTTTACACGCTGCTTATTTAGTTTTTCAAAACATCGTCTTTCAAAAAATACTGGTCTCATTTCTTCAGGTTGTCACTAATAGATACAAAGTATATAACAATGAATAGTGTTCAATGTTTTTATTAGTAGGGCAAGTCATACAATAAGGCATTTTGAAATACAAACAATGCATAGGTATAATTATTTTTATATTTTTAATACGAGGCCCGGCATAGCCATGTGGTTAGGGCTCTACTCGCAATCTGCGGGTTCGAATCCCAATCACACCAAATATGCTCGCCCTTTCAGCCGTGGGGGCGGAGTATAATGTGACAGTCAATCCCACTATTGTTGGTAAAAGAATAGCCCAAGAGTTGGCAGAGGGTGGTGATGAGTAGCTGCCTTTCCTCTAGTCTTACACTTCTAAATTAGGGACGGCTAGCGCAGATAACCATCTGTAGCTTTGAGCGAAATTCTAAACAAACAAACCTAGGTTAAGTGATCATTGTTCTATTAGGTTCAATATTTTGCTGCATATGGAAATAATTATATTTTGGTTATAAATTTCTAAAAGAGCAAATTTTGAAGGGATGCGAAAATAATTATCTGTTAATTGGGCAGCCGAGTTATTTGGAGACACTGATCAAATGTGGAAAATGTTTAGAGATAAATTTTTAAATATTCAAGGTAAACATATTCCTTATAGAAGAAAAGGATGGCTGCAAGTAAATTACCAGGTTGGCTCACAAAGTATATAAGAGTTAAATTATAGAAATGCATCATAAATATAAAAAAATTTAAATTGGCTAGTATGACGGGAGATTTAGAAGATTATCGGA